TTTTAACGCATATTCCGCGATACTTCTAGGGGTTTCCATACATTTGGCACAGACAGTATAGGGGCAAGTATGACAGTCCGATCATTGTAATTTAAGTTTACTTCCAAAATTCTTTCTTGTTCTTGTATTGAAACTTTTAATTTCAATCAGACAGATATAATGTCCGTCGGGTGTAAGTGCGGACGAAAATTTAAAAAAGTATTATTTTGACCGATATGTATTCGAAAGTGCGCAGGCGTTCTGCGACCTGACGATATACGCGCATTATTGAATGAACCGGATTGACTTGCACGCATTAATTGCAAGCATCGTGACTATATAAAGACGAAAAAATAACCCTTTTGATTTAGGTGCATGCACACGAGCAGAGAAAAAGAAGAGAGAGAGAGAGAGGGAGAGACAGAGTTATACGTCGCGAGATATGGACCAAGCAAAGAACGAAAATCGAGAATATCATCTAGGATTATCCGCGGTCTCTCTGCGGGACTTCATATCAATGTACTGGGCGTGTAATTAAAGGGAGGCAAATTGACAGATGTGGGTGGATAATTATCGAAGAGAATTGATACTTTTAGAGCTTGAATATTCAAAAAGTCAGTATTTTCTACGATGGTAATTATTTGTTACATTTTCCAGTCAGATAGATACCCTGTAGACTTCTTTTTTATACGTGAGCTAGCTCGCTCGGACATTTTTGTCTCTTGCACGCGCAATTTTTCCAGACTATAATTTAAATAATTTAATTTGATTTGACAATTAAAAGAAATTTGAAAAAAGCTACACAAAAATTTTTATGCAAGCGTTAAAACCTGGATTCCGAAAAAGGTTTATATAACAATGGTTATGTTTTTTTTATAATGCTTTCATTTTTCTTTATGAGTACAGTTTAGTGGGATCAATAAGCGGCGCTAACAACTGCAAAAATGTATAACTTTCAAGAGTCGGCACGCAAAAATACCGAAAAGGTAGGAGATGGCATTTGTAAAATTTTGATGTAAGTGTCACTTAAAATAGTTTTTACACTATAAAGTTTCTCTAGGTATTTTTTTGCGCTTCACATTCTTTAAACAGATCTTCTCGAGTCAAATTATTCGAAAGAGTCCTCCACGCACGAGCTTTTTTCATCATTTCACATTATTATTTATTATTAATATTATTAATACTTGAAATTACTTTCTTTACATACACGCTTGGCTCTGTGCATACAAGTATTGTAATACAATACAACAGTTGTGACATCTATTTATAAATACATTAGAGAACTGACGGTGCCTAGGAGAAGCTCATTTATTACAAGACTATTATAGAGTGAACTTCATTATGCTTGCCGCTGATCAAAGTATTGCCAAGTAAACTTATCATCAGTTCTAAAAATTTCTCGAACTTTTCCTCAATTTCAAATTAAAAAATTTCCTTGCTGAAATAGGATAGATGAGCATCCTGATGGCACTTGTATTAGTTTCGTGAAATATTGGTTCAAGCTTTTCCCTTCGGTTCAAATGATCTTCAACATTACTAGTTTAATACCTTCACCTCTTCAAAGTAAATATCATGTATTCGGAAATATTTGCCGCTATTTTGTTCAGTCTCTTTCATTAATAACCACGGCAAGTATTCATCAGAAATAGTTAACTATTATTACAATAAAGATAAGTAAAAATTAAGGTTCTGTGGATCGTAAAAGAGAAGAGAGAAACTAACATTTTCAACAACTCTATGGTTGAATCTTTATTTCAACTTGTAGTTATTACACTTATAACATTCGCTTATATTTACTTCAGAGCATCTAAAACAAAGGTGTATTTTCAGATAATTAAATTAAATAAAATACTTGTTATTTTTCAATATTACATCAAAATATTTCAGATATATCGGGTAATGGCACGAATGTGGTACAATTACAACGAAGATATTCAAAATGTTATTTTAAAGTTTGCCACAAAAGCATACTATATCGGCAATATTCAAACAGGTTAATTAATGGTTCAATTTTTTAATTTGACGCGTACACATTAGGGGGTGTCCGTTATTTTCCGAAATTTTCATATTACTTCTCTCCCCATTTAGATGTCTTTTATTTGATTAGACAATGAGAAAGCTGGTATATAGAGTTTGAAAAAATAATTTTAAACTGGCCCCCAACCGGCTTGAAGCTTACATGAATTTGAAATGGGAAAAACTTAAAAGTTTCATTCACATTGATAAAAATGAGGAAAAAATTTTAAAAAATTCACAAACCCATGTATTTGGTGTATTTTTTGGCGGAGAATCGATTGGTGACCTTCAATTCGACTTCGAACATAATCTCAAAACTATAGCGAACCTCAAATCGTTTTTTTCACAGTGACCCCCATTTTTCATTGCAGATTCGAAAAGAGCGGAAAATTTCAAATCTGATTATGTCTTTTGATTTTTTTTACGGTCATTTTAATGGTGCTGCAGATAAAAATAAAACCCTAAATTTAGCGTTCATTTTTCTTAATTATTTGTATCTGCGCAGCGCCTTGAAAAAAATCAAAAGACATTCATGTAAGCTTCAAGCCGCTTGGGGGCCACCTTAAATCATTTTTTTGAACTCTACATACCAGCTTTTTCATTGTCTAATCAAATAAAAGACATCTGAGTAGGGAGTGAAGAAATATAAAAAAATCGGGAAATAACGGACACCCTATAATGCACATTAACAAAAGACGTATTATGTAGTATTTTTTGTTTTACAGTATCGGTCTTATTCGTTTGTACTATTTATATCTCAGCACCGGTAGCTTTACCTTTGCTTTTTACTTTAACAAGTTCAGGAAATAAAACATTTGAGAAATCCTTACCGCTTCACCAAGAATTCTTGATCGACGAAGATAAATATTTTTATATAATATTGGCATTTCAGTTAATCAGTACAGCAGATTTCTGTTTTCTTTTAAGTACTTTGAATTTTTTTTACTTTTCATTTTTAGTTGGTATTATTGGAGGAATTCGTGGTTTGATGTGTGTACTTTATAATTGATAAATTGAGCAAATTAGTACGATTGTTTCAAAAACCAATGGACGCAATAAATTCGATTGCAGTCGGTTCTTGAAAAAAATGGATACTGAGTACGATGAAAAAATTTTGATGAGAGATGAGCATGCAGATCAATGGATTTTTCTGCAACTTAAAAATTTTATTCGATATCATCAAAACCTCATAGAGTAATTATTTCTAATATTTGTTTAAATGATTTTCTTATTAATAATATTACTTTAGTTTCTATGAATATGCTCGAGAATTGTTCAGCCCCTTAATGTTCATTGGATTATTGGCAGGCACTTTTAGTATCATCTTTACAACAACCTCAGTAAGCAACTAAAAATCGATCGCGGACTCAAGACATTGATTTCTAAAAGATTTTTCGTTTCATAATAATGTTTTATTTTTAAAAAAAGCTAGTGGTTTTGATAGATACAGAATTTACTAGTGCACTTAGGATGATAGTTGCATCTTTTATGATAGTTCTGGCTATTTTCTTCGCTTGTGCTCCCAGCCAAATGTTGAAGAATGCAAGCGACGATTTGTTTCTCACGAGGTATAATATTTGCACAATATTATTTATTCAATCTATCTCCATTAAATTTGTTTTTATTATAAAAGCTACGAACTGAATTATCAAAATTATCCGCTAAAAATACAGAAGATGTTTTTGTTAATCATAATGAGAACTGAAACATCTTTTGTGCTGCCTGCTGGACCTTTTGTCGAGTTAAATTTTGAAACTTGCAGTACTGTAAGTATATTCGTATATTAGAAAATTCTTCAAAGCCCATGTTTAAAAAATGATAACGTCCCAATTTTGTTTTGCTAATTTTCAGGTTATTAAATCCTCACTTTCGTATGCAGCAGCTTTCAGATCAGTCTACACGTCACAATAACTGAACTCTTATAATTTCATGATAAAGTTAATATTGGGTTAAATCTTTTAATCCGGGTGGACGTTCGATTCTGAATTTAATGTTTACTCGAAAAATCTCTCGTACTAGAATTTTTTGTACCCTAAACGCCTTCTAAAATTTCTTCTTTAAATTTTTAATAATTTTATTTCTGATCAAGCAGTTCGAAATCCTAAACCTCAATATTTTTCTCTTTTTTTCTGGCACTAAAGTGTATAGTCGAAAAGCCCTTATTTTTAACAAAAATGAGACGTTTGAGATTTAGCTTAAATTAACAAAATGTTCAATGTAAAAGAATATTAAAAAAAATTAAAAAACAATTTTAAATATTAAATTAGATGTCTACGGAAAGCTGTCAGAAGTAAAACTTTTTTAAAATACACTAACTGAAAACTATGAAGAAAGAAAAATCTTGAAAAGTTTGAACAAAAAGCATAATAAATATTGTGCTGGGTTGTGTTCAAGGTCAAATTCAAAGTCACTACTGTATTCCTCGTAAAAAAATACGTCGGATAAGTGGGTTTTTATTTTTTTAACGCATATTCCGCGATACTTCTAGGGAATTTCCATACATTTGGCACACTCAGTATAAGGGCAAGTATAACATTCCGATCCTTGTAATTTAAGTTTACTTCCAAAATTCTTTCTTGTTCTTGTATTGAAACTTTTAATTTCAATCCACCGCTGGAAATCAAATACACTCCGGTAAGTATTTAGGCAAACTCTTACTCTTCTTAAACTATATGATTAATTGTTAACATTTACAGTTACGATTATTTAAGAACATATTGTGAAAAGTGAACTGATAATCATAAGTAAAGTTAAAATTTGTATAAAACCCTTACCTATGACACTACTTAGCCCGGTTGAGCTTTTTTTACGAGAAATCTAATAAACTTATCAGATTTTTGATATCTCTTATCAAATTCAAATGAAAGCGAAAAGAAAATTGCGTAGTTCCTGCCACACTTACTAGGTGGAGCGCGACAAGCGTTTCTCGATGTATCGTCCAGTTTTGTTGAGTAAATGCATTTACCAAATATCATATAATGTCAACTCAGCTCTCCCCGGCATTGCGTGTCTGTAAAGGCTCGCGCGCGCGACAATGAGGCCGATTAGCGATATGCATAACACACACGCATAAAGTATGCCGATGACTATAAAAGAATGAAAGGAGAAGAAGAAAAAAAAACAACTCGGCAGAGTATATCGTGCAGCAAGTATAAACAACCGAGCGCTACGTCGTCGAGAGTTCGGAGTCGCCGCAGGTTCCGTTCGATGTAATATTATTATTTCGCCGCAGCTGCTCTCTCGGTGTGGGGTTTACTTTTTCACTGTCAGCTGAGAAGCAGCAGCAGCAGCAGCAACACTCCACTCGCGTATACATATACGGTATATCGCTTGCCGGCTCGCAGGCAGACACTGATATTGGCGTTTTTTGCGGCAGACAAACAACAAAACAGAAGGTGTACAGTCGAGCTGCGAAGGCAGTCCATGAGGTCCAATAACTTGTATAGATAATCATTCGTCGTTGTCTTCTTCCTCTGCAAGCCAGAAGTAAGTTACTCTTTATGTGCGTGTATTTTGCAAATTAAATTAACAATTGGTAGTCTTTTTGTAATCGAATGCAATTTCGAGTTGAATCGAAGTTCTGTAGAGATTTCGTCGTTGTTATTGTGCTTTCAAAAAAAAAAAGAGATAGCTTTGAACGTCAAATTTTCTGCGTTCTCAAGGTCGTACTCTCGTCGACCATCGATTGCATTTTTATTATAAAATGGCTCGCTGCTGCTCGACGCGTCTCGTGCGAAACGCAAAATAACTGACATAAGACTTTGAGAATTTAATAATATGCGTGACCGTGTTCTCGATTTCTATAACTGCCGAGTTATCCTTGCCTCACGGCCAAGGATCATTGCTTTTTTTACGGCCTAGGTATATAATCTATGATTCAAATGTTACTGCTATTATGATCGCGTCGTGTGCTAAACGCAGCTCTTTTTTTATTTTTAAATTAATTAAAAATGATTCAATAAGTAGCGAGCTCGAGGCTTGGTAAGAAAAACGACGCTATAATGTAGCATATTTTTCTCTGTTACTTTGATAAAGAGTTCATTTGCTTTAGATAGCATCAAATTTATATCATTGTTTGGAAATATATGCTGCATGTTGCTGAAATATCTGTTTAAATTGTTTTTTCAAACTTATTTAGCTCATTATTCTCATTTTGTAATTTTTATATTTCATTACAGATTTGAATACTCATTTGTCAAAATGCGTTTAATCATCTGTGATGATTCAAATAATGTTGCTGAGTGGTCTGCCAAGTATGTTATGAAAAGAATCAATGACTTCAAGCCAAATGAAAATAAATACTTTGTCCTGGGCTTGCCTACTGGTAAAAATCAAATTTAAATGAAATTTATTCTTATATTTATTTCATACTAATAAAACTATTTATATTTTTAGGAGGTACCCCTCTTGGAATGTATAAAAAACTCATAGAATATTATAAAGCAGGAAAAATATCTTTTAAATATGTCAAAACATTTAACATGGATGAATATGTCGATCTGCCCAGAGATCATCCAGAGTCGTATCATTACTACATGTTCAATAACTTTTTCAAGCACATAGACATTGATCCTGCAAATGTACATATTCTTGATGGTAATGCGGTAGACTTAGAACATGAGTGTGATGAATTTGAAAGAAAAATGAAGGAAGCAGGAGGTGTTGAATTATTTATTGGAGGTAAATTCAAACTCATTATTTTTTTACTCACAAATGAGATTATGAATTATTAAACTTAAATTTTTGATAGGAATTGGACCTGATGGCCATATAGCATTTAATGAACCTGGTTCATCTCTGAGTTCAAGAACTCGTGTAAAATCATTGGCTCAAGATACTTTGGAAGCTAATGCACGGTTTTTTGGTAATGATATCAACAAGGTGCCAAAACAGGCCCTTACTGTTGGTGTTGGCACAGTAATGGATGCAAAAGAAGTCATGATACTTATAACTGGATCTCACAAAGCGTTTGCTTTGTATAAAGCTATTGAAGAGGGTATCAATCATATGTGGACGGTATCAGCATTCCAGCAGCATAAAAGAACTCTCATTATTTGTGATGAAGATGCTACTTTGGAGCTGAGAGTTAAAACTGTTAAATATTTCAAGGTATTTGAATTATTTACTGTTGCACATACAACTAAACTAAATTTAACAATTGATTTTTCTATTTATTATTACTAATGTTGTGACGGTATTCTTATTTATTTATACACTTACTTTACATGTTTATTATGGTGATTTTATAAATGAAAATTGACACTTGCAAATAACTTTTGCGGGCTCCAGGCTCTCAGTGAAGTACACCGTAAATTGATTGAAGACGATGGAAAACCTATCCCGCGTCGTCCTCAAAAGGACGCGTGATCTGGTATAGTTCAACTTTTGAATTAAGAAGTTTAAAATGTTTCTCAGAATCATATTTTTTTTGATTACTCCAATTTTTTTTACATCCATTAAATCGTTTCGATTTAATTTTACCCTATGAAACGTTGCAACCCCCAATATTTTTTGGTTTTATTTTTTACTTTTGTCATTTCACGTACTCATCATGCATCTTTTTGTCTTTATGTGTAAAGTGTGCATCAAACTACCTGAATGTTTCTTTCTGGTTCTATATGAAATAACTGTATGAATCTTCAGCTATATGTAGTATGCATTCTAATTTGCTTATTTCATATAATTCTTCTACTTTATGTTTGAATTTCTAATAATTTTTTTGGGTAAATATTCATTACTTACTATTGTTACTTAATGTTTTGAAATCATTGCATTATTCGGGATTGAACGAATGAAAGACTTAAAAAACTAATTCATGAAATTATATTTTAGACTTTATTGGGAGTTCACAACAAACTCGTGGAAGAAGGAAACGCCTACTTGGATTGAGATTCCGATTCTTTTCATCCAAAAAGAGGAAAGAAACGACAGAGCTTAAAATGAAAAAAAATATTATTTTATTTTATTTTTTCAAATGTTATTGAATGTTAAAAAGAAACGTAATTTTGCATTTTAACGAGATTGCAATGTTCTGCAATATTTTTGTACTGTTTATGTCATAACATTGACGTTTATGATTTTAAAGATGAATAAATATATTTATATACATTTATATTGAATCAAGTTTTTACTTCATTCGTATGAAATAATTGAAGAGGATTTTCTTTCGATTTCCAAAATTCAATGTAATTTTCAAACGATCTAAGCTTCTCTGTTATATAAATATCAAACTTTCATCGAACAACTTATAAATTTGACTATTTACTTTGTTGCCGACATTTATTATATCATGATTACGTATTTCGTACATCATTATCGCTCCTCAAGTTCGATAGAATGTGCGGCAGACGTGTGTAGCCTTTCGTGAATTTGGCGCACTTATCTTATCGCGCGCGCTCGCAAGTCGCTCGCTTATTATTACATCAGCACATCGATATACGTTTGTCTAAAACGCGAGCCTCCGCGCTGTTTATGCGCGAAATTATAATTGTAATCCGTTCGTTCAACGAGCTGGTTGATCGCGTGTCTCGAGAGTGCGCGTTAGCCAAAAAAAAAAAAAAAAAATACTTTTTTAAAATACAGCAACAACTATGAACGGCGAAAAACGCTACGAGATCGTTTTGCGCGACCTCGAGAGTCTGCTACGGAAACGTCTCGGGCCGGAGACTCGACTGCTGAATTACGAGACGTCGCCGTTCACCAAGGAGGGCGACAATTACGGCAGCACCATGCTGAGGGCGCAGGCGACCATCGAGAAAAGCGCCGACGACGAGGGGCCGACCGAGCTGAATCTCGTGGCCAAGATGATGCCGCCCACGGACATCCAGCGGAAAATATTCCAGAGCCTGTTCACGTTCAAGAAGGAGATATTCGTGTACGACGAGCTGCTGCCCAAGTACGAGGAGGTGCTGGGCGAGCGACTGGACATCGTGCCGGCCGTGTTCGGCTCGAGGCTGTCGCTGAAGCCGGACAGCGACGAGGTCGACGACGACGCCGTGATTCTCATGGAAAACATGAAGCTCAAGGGATACTACATGGCCGACAGGCATCGAGGTAATGCCGAATTTTACTGATTTATACTTTTACGATCGGAAATGATTTCGTTTTTAATCACGCGACGACACTCTCGCGTGCACGCAGGTCTGGATTTGGAGCACATGCGAGCCGCGATCACGAGTCTGGCCAAATTCCACGCGATCGGTATCTCGATCAAGCACAAAGCGCCCGAGTTCTTGCCGAGAATCGAACGGTTCAGCAAAACGATGCTGACCGGATTGGACGAGATCAGGCACGTGATCGACATGCAGCTCACGGCGATCAAGAACGATCCCGAAATCGGTGAATTTTACGAGAAAATCAAGGCCACCTGCGACCCGGACGAGCTCTCGACGTATTACACGGAGCTGGCGGTCGACCATCCGTGGGCCTGCGTCGTTCACGCCGATTTCTGGCTCAACAACGCCCTGATGCACAAGAACGCCGAGGGCCGCGTGGACGACTGCAAACTCGTCGACTTTCAGACGTACTACACGTCGAGCCCGCTGACGGATCTCGTCTTTCTGCTGTGCACGAGTTTGCGGGTGCCGCACGAGGGCTTCGACGAGCTCTTGGAGACCTACAGAGGCGAGGCCGCGCGGGTACTGACCAAACTCGACTGCCCGCAGGCGCTCGAGCTGTTCGCCCGGGAGAAATTCGACGAGAGGCTGAGACTCGACGCCGGCGCCGAGCTGCTCCACTTGATCGAGATGTCGAAGATCGTGGAGCAGCGCGAGGGCGAGGTCTACGAGGAGTCGCCGCCGAACGAGCACACCATGAGGAGGTTGAGAAGCATATTCGACGTTTACAAGAGAAAGCAGTGGATCTAGGCGTACGAGGCGAAACGATGATGTACTTTTTTTTATGGACGATAAATTGTTGTTGTTTTAATTTTCTATGTATAATTGATGTTGCGCGGGAAGAAGAAAAAATTTAATAAATATAACGTGATCTTATTGAGGCGCGAAAATATCGCGTCTGATTTTACGTTAAATACTTGTTTTTTTTTTCTTGCATCAAACGCTATTACATATTTTGACATTATAAATGTTTATCGCGATAAGATAAACGATATTATTATACCAAAGAATTGAGCGAACGACACGCGCAAATATCTCATTTTCGTGTAAAAGACTCTTACATCGTTTCTAAACTACGTTGTTTTTAATCAACTATAACGTTTCTGAACTAATGTTGATTTTATTGTTCATTACGGCGTTTGTTTATTAAAGGTTTCGAGATTGCTTAGAAATGATTTGTACAACGATCTAACGATTTCTTGATGATAAGAAGATGAAAGAAAAAGAAAAATTTTAAAATTATTCTTCATTTAAAAATTGTGTCTAAAAGTATTTACAAACGAACACAACGTGTAAAGTCGGCTTCAATCACGCTTCGATTCTAGCAAGCTCCTGACGCACACTTTTTCCGAGTTTTCGCCTGCAAATCAGTGAGAATTCATTAAAATTTGGGGGCGGGTTAAGGAGTATGCCAACTACGTCATGGTGGGGAGGGGGGGGGGGGNGGGGGGGGGGGGGGGGGGGGGGTACTTAGTTTTTCAAGGACGAAAAATTTATCGAAGAAATCGTCACCAATTTCGAATTTCAAGCTAATTCAAATATTGTACGAACGATGTATCAATTAGTAACATTATTGTAAACAATATCATCATTGACGATTTTGTCATCGTCTCTCGACACACAGATCATTTTTATTTTAAAGAGAAATTAGGTTGAATGTTGTCTTCACCGACGAAACAAACCATAATACCAGAAGATCAATTTAACTCATTCAGTTTCCGTAAAACAAATTGAAGGATCCATCGTTAAATTGAGGAATCAAAATGGATAAAAGTGAGAAGAAATTCGAGCAGGCTGACTCAAAAAATAATTTAAGTGAGCACGAGATTGCTTTTTCAGACGATAAAAAAAAAGTTGATGATACTTGCCAGGAATCATTTACACTAGAATCAAGCATGATAATACATCGAAACACATTTCACAATGAAAAAACAGATTATGCATGTGATACATGTGAGAAAAAATTTGAGTTTAGAAGTCATTTGAGTAGACACCAAATATCAGTACACAAAGGCAACAACGTTTTTTCATGCGACCAGTGCGAGAAGAAATTTATGAAAAAATCGAGTTTGATGATTCACCAAAAATTATTACATAATAAGGATCGCAAGGATTTTTTCACCTGCAACAAGTGCGAGAAGAAATTTGAAAGTAAATCAACTTTACTCAAACACAAAAAAATATTCCACGAAGTTTTCAAAGACTACTTATGCGAAAGGTGCGCAAAGAGATTTGGAAATAAAAAGAGTTTGCTTTTACACATAAAGATAGTACACGACAAGTATGAGGAGGAAATTGGACAAAAATTGAAATTTATTCGACACCAAAAGATGAAAGACGAAGGTCGGCAGCATTATGCATGCAACAAGTGTGAGAAGAAATTTACAGAAAAAAGAACTTTGCTCACTCATCTAAAGACAATCCATGAGGGTCTGAAAGATTACGCATGTGACAAGTGCGAGAAGAAATTTGGACGAAGATCGGATTTACTCAGACACCAAAGGACAGCCCATGAAGGTCGCAAAGATTACGCATGTGACAAATGCGAGAAGAAATATGGACTAAAATGGAATCTGCTCACCCACCAAAAGACGGTACACGAAGGTCGCCAAGATTACACATGCGATAAGTGCGAGAAGAAATTTACAGAAAAAAGGTCTTTGCTCAAACATCAAAAGTCAGTACACGAAGGTAGAAAAGATTACGTATGCAACAGATGCGAGAAGAAATTTACAGAAAAAAGGTCTTTGCTCACTCATCTAAAGACAATCCATGAGGGTCTCAAAGATTACGCATGTGACAAGTGCGAGAAGAAATTTACAGAAAAAAGAACTTTGCTCACTCATCTAAAGATAATCCATGAGGGTCTGAAAGATTACGCATGTGACAAGTGCGAAAAGAAATTTGGACGAAGATCGGATTTACTCAGACACCAAAGGACAGCCCATGAAGGTCGCAAAGATTACGCCTGTGGCCAATGCGAGAAGAAATTTGGACAAAAATGGAATCTGCTCACCCACCAAAAGACGGTACACGAAGGTCGCCAAGATTACACATGCGACCAGTGCGAGAAGAAATTTGGAAAAAAATCCGCTTTGCTTTTCCACCAAAAGACGGTACACGAAGGTCGAAAAAGTTACCCATGCGACATTTGTGAGCAGAAATTTCTTAATTTAAACCATTTGAGCAGGCACAAAGAATTAGTCCACGAAGGTCGCAAAAATTACGAGTGCGTTAAGTGCGAGAAAACATATGGGCAAAAAAATGATTTGCTCGTCCATCAAAGGATAGTCCACGAGGGTCGTAAAGATTACGCATGTGATAGGTGCGAGAAGAAATTTGGACAAAAGCAGCATTTACTTTACCACCAAAAAGCAATTCATGGAAGTCGTAAAGATTTTGCTTGAGAAAAATGATGTTTGACAATTGTAAAATTTTAATAAAGATTGTGCTGAAATGATTGTGCCTTACTCGAACCTCGAGTGTTCTAATATCATCACATCTTACAAGGTGACTACATGAGATGCGGCTCCCCAAATGTCCTGAAAATTGTTTTCTATTCACCTGCTACCTAATAATAAAACCCCCTATGTTTAGTTTGATCCAATAGGCCTTATGGCCCATTTGAAAAACCATTTTCTAATTTATTAAAAAATCTTTGTGATTTTCTAACTTGTAACAGGATGTCTGAAACGAAAAATTGCACAATGTATACAAGTCTTAGAATTAGTCAAAGAATACGTTTGAATTTTTTCAGAATTTTGGAGATCTACTATCAGCTATTTTTAAAGGCCTGAATTTGACGCATTTTTACATTTTTCTTAAGAATTTCAGAGACCTTTAAAAATGGGTGATAGCCGGTCTCGAAAATTCTGAAAAAATTCAGACGTATTCTTTGACTAAATCTAAGACTTGTACATTATGCAAAATTTCGTTTAAAACGTCCTGTTACAAGTGAGAAAATCACAACGATTTTTTAATAAATTAGAAAATGATTTTTCAAACGGGCCCTAAGGTTCATTGGATTAAACTGAACATAGGGGGCTTCATTATTAAGTACCAGAAGAATAGAAAAATTTTTTTAGGACATTTGGTGACCCGCATCTTCTGTTTTAGAGCTGTGAAAAGGTCAAAATTCTAGTTGGATATTGGATTTCTGCTTAGTAAAACGTGATCGATAATACCAAAAATTTTGCACCGAAAAAAACGAAGTGAAAGCCATTCAATAATTTAATTTTAATCCTACAAAAGTTCTCTACATTCCTTCAAAATTATTGAAAGCTCTTGAAAATATTTTATCCTTTTCTCTGTACTTTTATCAATCCATAATCTGATAATGAAGCTCTTCGAATTGCGTGAGCGGCGTCATTTTTTCAAAACTGCCTCTGCTTTCGAGTCTTTATAATAAAAATATTTCAATGTAGCTCGCTACTTCACTGCTGCTTTGAGAGCAGTGATGACTTATGGACCATCCCAAGCACGCCTCTACGGGTGGCGGCAAATTTTAGAATAAATATTAAAAATTTTTATTATAATATATAATAATATATATTGTATGAACGTACATTAAATAAATAATACAAGGAATTTTTTTTAAGTAATTAGTTTTTTAAGAGCAAAAAAATTTCTGGAAGAAATCATCTTAAAGTTCAAATTTAAATTGTTTTAAATATTGTAAGAATAATGTATCAACGTATAAATCGGTAACATTATTGTAAACAATATCATCATTGACGATTTTATCATCATCTCTCGACTCACTGATCATGTTTATTGTAAAAAGAAAATAGTTCAAATGTTGTCTTCGTCGACGAAACAAACTATAATACCAGAAGATCAATTTTCTCATTTAATTTCTGTGCACTTATTTAAAGATTCATCGTTTGATTCAAACAACGAAATGTATAAAAATGAGAAGAAAATTGAAAAAGTTGTCTCAAAAGATTATTTACATGAACACAACATTGTTGTTCCGGACGATAAGCGACACGTTTGTGATATTTGTCAGGAAGCTTTTACGCTAGAATCAAGTATGATAACACATCAAAACAAATTTCACAATGAAAAAACAGATTATGCATGTGATACATGCGAGAAAAAATTTGAGTTTAGAAGTCATTTGAGTAGACACCAAATATCAGTACACAAAGGCAACAAAGATTTTTCCTGCGATCAGTGCGAGAAGAAATTTATGAAAAAATCGAGCTTGATGACGCACCAAAAATTATCACATAAGGATGGCAAGGATTTTTTCACCTGCAACAAGTGCGAGAAGAAATTTGAAAATAAATCAACTTTACTCAAACACAAAAAAATATTCCACGAAGTTTTCAAAGATTACTTATGCGAAAGGTGCGCAAAGAGATTTGGAAATAAACAAAGTTTGCTTTTGCACATAAAGACATTACACGAAAAGTGTGCATTGAAATTGTTTCGACACGAAAAGGTAGAACACGAACGTCGCAAAGAATATGCATGTGACAAGTGCGAACAGAAATTTGGACAAAAATCGCATTTTCTCCGCCATCAAAAGACTGTACACGAAGGTCGGAGAGATTATGCATGTGATAAGTGCGAACGAAAATTTGGAGAAAATTGGATTATGATTCGACATCAAAAAACAGTACACGAAGGTCAAAAAAATTACGCGTGCGAAAATTGCGATAAGACATTCGGACATAAATCGTATCTTCTTTTGCACCAAAGGATAGTCCATGAAGGTCGCAAAAATTACGCATGCGACATTTGTGAGAAGAAATTTGGGATTAAAAGTAATTTGGAAAAACACCACAGTACAGTCCACGAAGGTCGCAAAGATTACGAATGTAACAAATGCGAGAAGAATTTTTGTAGCAAATTTGATGTGTTAAGGCACCAAGAGGCAGTTCACGATGGTCGTCAAGATTTTACATGCGACATTTGTGAGAAGAAATTTGGGGTTAAAAGTAATTTAAAAAGACACCACAGAACAGTCCACGAAGGTCGCAAAGATTACGAATGTATCAAATGCGAGAAGAAATTTTGTAGCAAATTTGATTTGTTAAGGCACCAAGAGGCAGTACACGATGGTCGTCAAGATTTTACATGCGACATTTGTGAGAAGAAATTTGGGCTTAAAAGTAATTTAAAAAGACACCACAGAACATTCCACGAAGGTCGCAAAAGTTAGGAATACAACAAGTGCGAGAGATAAAATTTTGATTAATAATTTAATATGAACAAACACCAGAAAACAGTCCATGAAGGTCGATTTCGCATGCGACAAGTGCTAGAAGAAATTGGGATACAAACTGCATCAGACATTAAGAAATAGCCCACGAGGGTCACAAAGATTTTTCTTGAGACAAATGCGAGAATAATAATGAGTAATAATTTTGAAAATTTCAATAAAGATTTTGCTGAAATGATTATGCATTACCCGAACCTCGAGTGTTCTAATACCATTACATCTAGTTCACTGTCGCGGTGATGCTTTATTGTTTAGCTAAACAAAATTTCGTGTACTGCTTATATTATTACTCTACGTGAATTTTTTTGGATCTTTGGTAAATGCTGCAGTTTTTCGTTCAAGGATTAGAACAGTCAAAAAGTTTTTGTACATGTCTTGTTTGGAGCTGTGAAAGGATCGAACTTTTACTTGAATACTGGATTTTTGATAAACCTCGCGTGATGATAATATGCCGAATTTATTAAACATGCCCTTGTGAAAGATTTCGATGCAGTTGCTGACGGACATTGATTATTTAAGCTTAGAGAGACGTGATTTTAACCCATAGGTTGTTCTCTATTTTTCTCTGAAATTAGTAAAAACTTTCGAAACTATTTTATCCTTTTCTCAGTACTTTTTATCTAATATAAAAGCTCTTCGCCTTGCTTGAGCGGCGTCATTTTTTCGAATCTGCCTATGTTTTCGAGTTTTAATAATAATAATATATAAACTATAATAAAATGTAAATTATTTCAATGTAGCTAGCCATTTCTCTCCTGCTTTCAGAGCAGTGGTGACTTATTGAGAACGCCAATCACGCCATGGCGCGGGAAAGGCAAATTTCAGAATGAATATTCAAATTTTTTATTACAATATATACCTATTATATTTTTCATATATTGTATCCGTATTATATATTGTACGAGCATAAATTGAATCGATATTGCATACAATTGTTTTAAAGTATTTAGTTTTGTAAGGGCAAAACAATTTTCGGAAGAAATCGTTTTCAAGTTAGAATTCAAAAATGTTTCCAATATTGTAAGAATAATGTATAAACAGATAAATCGATAACGTAATTGTAAAGATCATCATTATAAACGATATTGACATCGCACCTAGACACTGATCATTTTCATGGTGAAAACAAAATAGATTGAATGTTGTCTTCAACGACGAAACAAGTCTTAATACTAACAGATAAATTTGACTCATCAATTTCTGCGCCAAATCGAAAGATTCATCGTTTAATTCGGAAACTAAAATGGATAAAAGTGAGGAGAAAATTGAAAAAGTTGTTTCAAAAGATCATTTAAGTAAACCCGAGACTATTTTTTTAGAAGATAGACGACATGTTTGTGATATTTGTCAGGAGTCATTTACACTGGAATCCAGTATGATAACACACCGAGACACAATTCACAATGAAAAAAAAGATTTTGCATGCGACAAATGCGAAGAGACATTTAAGTTCCGAAGTCATCTGAGTAGACACCAAATATCGGTACACAAAGGCAGCAAAGATATTGCATGTGACAAGTGCGAGAAAAAATTTGTAAAAAAATCGAGTTTATTTACGCACCAAAAGTTAGTACACAAAGATCGCGAAGATTTCGCATGCAACAAGTGCGAGAGGAAATTTGAAAATAAATCAACTTTACTTAATCACAACAAAATATTCCACAAAGTTTTCAAAGATTACTTATGTGAAAAGTGCGCGAAAAGATTTGGAAATAAGCATAGTTTGCTAGTGCACACAAAAAGATTCCACGAGGCTTGCAAAGATTTCGCGTGTGATAAGTACAAAAAGAAATTTGGACGCAAACGTATTTTGCTTTTGCACCAAAAGACAGTACAAGAAGGTCGCAAAGATTACCTATGCGATATGTGTGACAAAAAATATGGACACAAATGCCTTTTGCTAATACACCAAAAGACAGTACACGAAGGTCGGAGAGATTATGCATGCGATCAGTGCGAGAAGAAATTTGGTCAAAAATCAGATTTGTTTAAACACAAAACGATAATTCACGAAGGTCGTAAAGATTATGCATGTGATAGGTGCGAGAAGAAATTTGGACTTAAAAGCAACTTGACTCAACACCAAAAGACAGTCCACGAAAGTCGAAAAGATTACGCATGTGACAAGTGCGAAAAGAAATTTGGACTTAAATGTAATTTGATAAAACACCAAAGGACAGTCCATGAAGGTCGCAAAGATTACACATGCGATATCTGTGAGAAGAAATTTGGGCAGAAAGTTCATTTGCTTGTCCACCAAAGGACTATACATGATGGTCGCAAAGATTTTGCATGTGACGAGTGCGAGAAAAAATTTGGACAAAAAGCGAGTTTGCTCTATCACCAAAAGACAGCCCACGAAGGTCAGTAAGATTAAATAAGCGACAAGCGCGAGATAAAATGATGATTGACAATTATAAAAGTGTAAAGATACGCATACATATGTTTTTCTAAAACTTCAATAAAAATTCTTTATTATCTAAACTTCGAGCGTTCAAATATCATTACACATTTGTTAGTACACTGGCGTAGTAATTTCAGATTTCGCGTACTAATAATATAGCGTATATTTTCTTATATATCCTATTATATAGGTAAGCGACGACGGTGAATCGGCGAGCAACTGGTCTCGCAGCTGCAATATCCAAGTGGCGCGAGCCCGCGTGCTTATGCTCCGCTGCGTGCGTAGGTAAGTGTACGTATATGTGTGTATTTTTTTCTCTCTCTCTCTCTCTCTCTCTCTCTCTCTCTCTCTCTCTCTCTTTCTCTCGCTCACTACTCTTTTTCACGGTGCTCCGTGTGTACCCATATAATACCGCAATAGGGTAAATCGGCCAATTATGGGCCACTGTGAGCTATTATTTAAATAAATTGAAATAAAAATTAAATTTTGACTCTAAAATTCTTTCCCTGTTTCTATTAACATTATTCGTTCAGAAAATATGAATAGCTCTACTTATGGACTGCTAAATCTTCTTTTTATAGGATTTATAACTTTACCCTGGCCCATAACTGGGCTATCCGGTAAAATTGTCCATCCAGTTATGGGCCACCTGTAATAATCTTTAATAATATTTATTTAAACGGTTCAATTTAATTTTTAAGAATGACAGAAGTTTCCCCATACATTTTGAAACACGTATGTTCATTTTTTAGACGTTCAGTGCTCGAAAATAAAAATTGAACCCAGTCCTTTGTTCAGAATCATTGGCGTCCCTATATGGTGGCCCATAACTAGTTGATTCGCATTTTTTTGCTTTAATCATTTCTTGAGAAATATTATTAGCGTAATTATGTCGAGTATATATATTCATTCGAAAAATTACCTTTTTTGCTTTCAGAAGCTATTTCCAGACATTTTTTTTAATGTTATGCACAATTTCTATAAGTAAGCAAAGTGAAAATTGTTCTTAGGTGGCCCATAACTAGCCACTTTACCCTATTATGCCTATGAGAGAATCGTGTGTGTGCGAGGTGAGCGGAAGTCAAGTACGGATGTATGCGCTTGGTGCAGGTATAGGCCCCCGCGTGCGGCGACCGGGGCTAATGCATAGCTATATATAGGATAGGAGGTATAGGTATAAGAAGGGCCCCATTATGCTCGGACGCGCGCGGACTCGATGCGCTTAACGAGATTTCGCTATGTAGCAGTCGTCGTCTATACCTATACGTGCAGCTAGGGTATATATAAAAGTCGAGAATCTATTCTGCGCGCGAGTATACATGTACAGGCCGGAAAAACGTTTCGATCGCGCCGATCGTCCTCGCCTCTACTTTAATACGTCAAAGCGATACGATACGTACGCGTGTGTGTACGGATTGAGTTTGATCTTATAGGCCACAGAGAATCGAGATCGTCGGAAGAGAGAGAGAGAGAGAATTAATACGCGTGCTGTTATATATCGATGCTAATATATAAGAATTCTTTTTTTTCAATCATTTCTACCCATTAACTCGTTTCGCTACAATTTTCAAAAATTGCCGCTCGCTAGTAGGTGCGCCGGCGTCTCGCCGGTGCTGCGCCACACCGTGAGCGCGCAGTCTACTACGTGTACGGGAGATAGCCAGCGAGCTACCTCGGGCTTCTCTTTTCTCGCGTTGATCTCTTACGCTGTATAATAGGTTAGGAGGCATGCTTATTTTTTACCGTTAAAATAAATTTAATTTATTTGCAACAATCGTCGTCCGAACGACAAAAATATCGTTCGAACGATTGCTTGAACGATCTCGCGCGAGAGAATAGAAAATTGTTATAACGTGAAGACTTTACTTTTTGCAGATCAAAATGGTGCAAAGGCTGCAATACCGCCGTCGGCTTTCGTACAACACGAAGTCCAACAGGACAAAAGTGTAAGTTTGTTTTATACGTTTTATCAGTTTTTTGTATTGTAAAATTTGACTTTGTTTATCGGAAGAGTGCACCATGTGCTCGACAATTTTGCACATGCTCGAATATGTTCAAAGTCTTTATGCGCATGTACGCCTATGACAATTAATTCACTACTGCTACTGCACATGCTGGAAGCGTTGAGGTTATAATGTTATACTGTTGAAACACCACTGCTTGAAAATCCATTGATTTTCACTGTTTTACCAGTATACTAAAATTGCTTTTCAAGTTAGTAATCCCAAAGGTTCCTTTTAAACGTACAATATCAACCTTTGCTTGTAATCCTATAGTTTTCTAGTATATAAATCATAATAGCTAAGCAATATGAGTACACATAGTTTATACTGCTTGAAACATACCCAATGATTATTATTGAATCAACACGTCATACTATTTTAGTAATTATTTATGGTTCATTGATGTTTAAACGTAATTTAGTTCATTTTAAAAATAAACAAAACCAATAAATGTTTGAAACTATTATAACTTGTGGAAAAACATAATCAAACATTTCTGATGGCAAATTCTTATAACGATTGATTTAATTTTCAGTGTTCGTACTCCCGGAAATCGTCTTGTTTTCCAATACTTGAAGAAGCACAAGGTTATCCCTAAATGCGGTAACTGCAAAAACAAGCTGAGGGGTATTGTTCCTGCCAGAACAATGGAGAGATCCAGGATGTGCCGCCGAAAGAAGACAGTGAAGCGCGCTTATGGTGGTGTTATGTGCCACAAGTGTGTTAAAGAACGGTATGTCATTACAGCTGACTTTTCTTATTTACAACATTTATCATATTTCTTTTAATTTCTTAATATTTTCCTGGTAAACTTTCAAAATTATTATTTTGACACTATAGTTTATAAATCTTATTTTAACTACTTTAATATTTCTATTGAGTTGATAACTAATGATTTTTTTTTATTTTCAGCGTTGTCAGAGCTTTCCTCATTGAGGAACAGAAACTGGTTGTCAAAGTTATCAAGGCCCAAAAAGCTGCTAGCTTAGCCAAACCAGTAAAGAAGTAAAGTTTTTTTGTAACTTATATTTAATGTACCAAATAAATACAAATATACTTACAAAAAACTAAATAACTTTTTTTACTGTCTCAACTCCCTTCAACTGGTACTTTATAAACTGTCAAAAATAATAATCAAAATATGCAAGTATAATTTGCTTCTATAATTAGGCTTTTTTTTGGATTCTAAGTTTACATCATTACCAGTTGGATGTCAAGGCTTTTGTTTTAATTTTATAAAAATTTTATTTCAATGTATATAAATATTTGATAACATGTTAATGCTTCTACAATGAGCAAAAATAGAATTTTTGGATTATGGAATATGCATTTTACAAATATGAATAACTTAACAAATTTATCAGATGTATTTGTATTTTTTCCACGAAAACATTTACATTGTGTGCTGGAAATTAAATGCAATTCGTTTAGGAAAATTTTCTTACGATAAGCAATAATATTAGTAAGCATCTATTCTTCAGAAATATATATCAATATATAGTTTTTGTTGCTTACTCAGCTATTACATTGCCACAATTCGAGAGATTGATATTACGTATCCTAACTGTAGATATACAACATTCTCAGTCATTCTAAATACAATTGGAACGTCATCATTATCATTAGTATCTTAGTTTTTTCGCATTTTGTACTTTGAACATTCGTTAAGCTTTCACACTTTCTTTTCTTACGTATTATTGAAATGAAAAAAGGGAATGAAAATAATAAAATGAACAAAATAGGGGTTTATTTTGTACTGGCATTCGAATTTTATTAGAAAAATTAAATACAAATTCTTTGCCTTTCTATTTTCGTTTTTCAAGATGCATACAACAAATATCAAGCTAATATTTTTAAGCTTACCATGAATTGAGTAAAATCTTGAAAATTACGAAAAAGTGAGTATATCCGAACTTATTTATTCAATATTATTAAAAGTTGTGAACGCAACAATTAAACATAAGAAAATACATGACTTTTATTTTACACTGACTCAAGCTATTTCATTACATAATTATTGAATAAAAGAAACATTTTTATTACATTGTTCTCGCCTGGAGAATAAAATACGTCAGCAGTAAATACTTGCGATAACTTTGTGCGCTTGTCTCACAAGGATAATTTTTAAAAAATCTGTCTCAATGATGGAATAAACGTCCTTGAACATTAATTACATTATTGAAATTTAGATCAACGCTTGTCATGCAAAAAGCTCTAAATTAGAGTGTATAAAATTAATAGAAATACGACTGGAATGACAATGAAATACCAGATAAACTTATACATTACACGAATTTCTTCTTTTTTTTTTACTTATAAAATATTTACAAACACATAAGCACTTTTACTGTGAACGAGCTTATTAACACATGCAATATATTTTATCTGAATCATCAATGCTCCAGATGAATTTAAATACAAATCCGAATGTTTTATGAAAGCCCAAATAGACATTTGATGTTTGAAAAGAAATAGTTTTCTCGTTCATCGAGTAAAGATAAATATATATTCCAAGACCTCTGACTTGATTACGACAACGCATTTGAAATATGTACAATGAAGAATATTGTAAATGAATGTTTTTTATATTATTTATATAATATATATGTGGGTGTATGTGCTCATATAATTTTATCAAGGATGGTTTATATAGATCTGTTTATATAATATATAATAGATTGTTTCGACGGTATGGTTTGATCTTTAAGGGGGTGAGGTGAAATAACGCGCGTTTCTCAGTTTTCGTAAAAATAATAATTAATAATCTCTCGGGTCTACTATTTTAGTAACGGTTGCTGTTTCTTTGAACAATTGTAATTGATCGTCATAATTTAACTATTTTACGACTAAAATACAATTTTATGTACATAAAAAATATGTATGGGACTGCGTAAATCGTCGTAGGGATTCGGAAGGGCTAGCCACTAAAATTATATCGTACGACCTGTGTGGACAGAGTTGAAGGTGAACGATACCGATTATTATACCGATTTTTTTGTTTTGAATACAGTGCCGGGTTATGAACTACGTCAATGAGGGCATGGCGTAGGGGCGACAAATTTTGAAATGAATTTTAAAATTTTTTATTGCAAATGTGTAGAAGAATTTATTTTCTCGATGTTGTCTGTCGGAGTTTCTTTGAAAGTATTTAGTTTTACGAGTCTCAAAAATTCCTCGCAGGAATTTCCGATAATGATTTCAAATTTTGTGAGAACAATGAATAAACAGATAAATGGATAATTTTTTTGTAAACAATAATGTTACAGCCTATGATGGAACCTTTTACTATAAAAAATAATTATAAAAGAAACCAATAAAACTGTGAGAAGCAGCTAGCGAGCAGCTACACATGTATTACAATTTAATGTATTTCGTGAATCTTTTATGCATAATTTCGATGACACACGCGACAAGTAGAAAGTAACTAACATCATTTCGGACACGCGCAGCCAGCGTGAACAATGCCGAATTGAGCGGCCTAAAACCATCACCTACTTCTGAGGTCTCTGTTAATTAAACGTTTGTAAAACTCTTGCGAAAATACAATTCGCGCTGCCGCGAGATGAATGAATATCGGAGAAAACCTATAAAACTGTGGTGACCGCGGCTCCATCAATTTCGGGAAGAGTGTGGCTCTGGGGTTTTGTAAGGTACACGCGCATGAAAGATATGTGTGAATTATTGACACATATCGAGCCGACTACATACTCTGCAACCGCTAAGGCGGGGGAAATTTAGGTGTATATAAGCTACGAGAAAAGAGTCTCAGCAGCTTCTTCTTATCTACGAAATCGCACACTGCGTATCGTGAGCTCGGTGGTTCCTCCAATTTTGTGAGTCGCGCATCGAGTCATTAGGCGCAAGCTCTGTCATTTCCGATTTTTTATACGGCGTACAGTCAGTCGCCATTCGTTACTGTAGACTCTTAGATTTTGAATCTTTCGAAAATGTGATTAAACGTTCATAGTCTTTCAACGAAAAGTATTGTCCAACGCTGTACTTCTGCTCAGGCAGAAAGTCAGCAATGAGATATAAAATATTGTTCTATTCAACGGGAGTGACGTGCGAATAAAAATATCGTAACAGCACGAGCAAGTGCATCTGCGCGATCCAGCCATCATCCAGACTTCAACCAGGCAAGCGACATCGCAGGCAGCCAACGACTCCAAGCAGCTAGGACGCAAACAGTATGAGTATGAGTATGCGTGTGTGATCTGTAGCGAACTATGCTGCTTGTTAATTATCAATAATTATTATTATGGTAAACCATCTCACTATCAAAATAATATATAAACTTCAAAATGCAGGATCGTAACTTTTCAAAGTATATATTTTGAAAGTATATATTTTAAGTATATATTTTCGAAAGTATTTATTTTGTCCAAATAAAAATGATTAAGTTACATATATTCGGAAAGCAAAAATGTAACTATCATTGAATTGAGATCTTCTTATGAAACTGTAAATCATAAAATCTTTTATGGGAAAAATTAATTCAATATTGAATGTAATATTGCCAATGTGTGTTCAAGGATACGTGGAATTTTTAGAATTTATAATTCATCTTGTAATTTAAAATCAAAATATTATTTAGAATTTTGTTTATTTATATTTATAAAAAAAAATCGATTTGAAAATAGAAGAAAAAAACGTTTATGTTTAAAATGAATAAGAGAAATGAGATGAGAATAGGAAAATAATATAATGATGTAAAAATTGTATGTTCTATCTACTTTAATTATGTAAAATTTGTTTTGATTGAACTTCAATGTTTGAAAATAACATTTATGTAAACGAAAAAAAAAGAAAACAAAAAAGGAATTTATATGTGTACGAAAATCGTAGTAGTTAATGAAATAATGGTAAGCAGTCTAATCAAATAAAAGAGAGAATGGGTATGAAAATTTGTGCATGGATCACACAAACTTTGAAAAACGGCATGCGTCGAAATTCAAGAATGAATTTATTTTTTCCGCGCATGGAAGTGTTACAGCCTGTGATGCAACCTTTTACTATAAAAAATAAGTATAAAAGAAAGCAATAAAACCCAGTGCCTTCTTGAGGCAGTGCATGATGCGCCTGTTGCCAGTTGCAGTTTGTCCGCTTTTATGTCTACTTTCGCTGTGTAGCTTTTCATATCGATCGTTATCCATCCTGTCACTACCACATCGTGAAATGATCCGTATGCGTCGACATACCTGGATTCTCCAGTGCATTTGCCGAATTCGCCAGTTGTTCCGGCGAATGTGTGAGGGGTGGTGATTATACCATTCCTGGGGATGTCGTTGATTACCACGTTCTGATATACATATGAGCCTGTGGCGTGTAACCTCTCGCATTCAACGCGAGTGACTTCTTTGTAGTATTGCACTTTGCCGTTAGCCACCGTTGATATGTGCGAGTGCATGCCGCAGTAAAACACCGATCTTTTTATTAATATGCGGCATTCCTTTACGGTAGCTATGCCATAGTCATTCATTTGTACCAGTTGGGCTCTAATCGTACTGTTTTTTATTTCAGGACGACTTTTTTTGCATTTCCCTACGTCAATTAGGGAAATTGTAGTTACGTTCGTTAGTTCGGCGCCGCAATCATATCCGTATTCGACTTGGCACATGGTGACGGTTGCTAGCGCAGCATGCATATGATGATGGTACCCCACATTTTCCTTAAACAATTTGAAGTTATTAATAGTGTTTCGGCACTAAGTCATAGATACTGTTAGTGTCTAAGTCTTTTGACCAATTTGTTGTTACATTGAGGGGTCTACTGATTATTATCTTATTACAGGTACCCCACTTATCTTTGCAGCGATTTCTACATGCTCTTATTATTTTTATTATTAGTATGAAACTCAATATTGCTATTGCCATGAGGCTGCTTGATGCTATCATTATCGTTGTCTGCAACGTGTCGTCTTCGTTGCACAAATATTTTATTGGTTCAACTAAATCTCCCTCTAATGCTGAAATTTCTTCCATACATTTACTAGTGCTCAGCTTTTTCGTAAATTTTTTAATGTCCAGGCTGGCATTTGGAATAAATGGAGGGTCGACTGTGTGAATTTTTAAT